ATTTCCACACGTGCCCTACACTCCAGTTTGTGGGTTTTTCTGTTTTCTTCTGTCTTATGTTGTTGTGCAGTTATACACATTGTATCCTTGTGGCACCAACCTTGGTGTTCTTCCTGCAGGCATGCAGTTCCTTTGGCAAGCTTGAAACCGGTGACACAAGTGGCACCTGTCCTTGCTTGGAATATGGTTTCCACCAGAAAAGGAGGAACCTATCAGAAAATAGCAGGTGGATACTTCTCAGGAATAGGTTTGTACAAGGTTTCCACAACCATTCCTTCCCTTGGAGCCAGGGGGAAGTGGGGGAGACACTTACAGCAGTTTTAACAGTAGCAGTTTTTGGACATTGGGAAATGCCTTAAGGCTGTGATATAAAACTTGCTCACTGCAGGGGTTTGATGTAAAGTAACCCTTTAGACAGAGAGATGAATTTGCCTTTGCAAAAGAGCAAATCCATTGAAAATACACAGCAAAGTGGTGTTGCTCTGAATTACTGAGGAGAAATTTGGCACTTGAAAACCAGATACAAAAATTAGGTCTGTGAATCAAGAAGCTTGTCTGGTTTGACCTTAGCAGGGGTGAATGAATGGTTTAGAGTTTCCCCAGCCGATTAAACATGGACTGTATTTTTTTAATTTCATAAAGGGATTTTAACACTGTGGTGAACACTGGTTTGATCAGCTGAATTTGGAACATATTCACATGTGAGATGTTTGTATTCTGCTCAGAACTTAGAATGCTCCCTGGAGCCTTCAAAATAAGGGTATACTTTAAAATGCACTTTTTCTGTGATAGGCCATTGACTCTCTTCTCTGAATGTCCAAATATTGACACTTCTCAACTGATAAAGAGAGCATAGCTCTGGAGTCAAGTGTTTAAGGTGTAAATCTATCTTTTCTGTCCTTAACTGAAACTGCAGATATGGATGTGAAGACACGGAAGAGAATGTCTAAGAAAATTCGTGGAAAGGAAGTTTTTATGACTGTGTCTTACAGCAGGGGTCATGCAGTTCTTCCACCCCGGCTACAGCATGGTGTTCCTTTGGGGCACTCTGCTCCACTTCATTGCTCACAGGGTGGTGGAAATATGCCACCTTATGAACCCTGTCATCCTCAGAACACTCCTCAGAGACATAACCGTGGATTTGGGATGTCAAGGTATGAAGCCTTGAAAACCTGTCTGAGATCACCACTTGTTTTCTATTTATTCTTGCTACAGACTAGTTAGGAAAGAGTTTGTGCTATTTAGTAGTAAAACTGCAAATGAGTTCCATCTGAGAGGCACTTCCTGGTAATTCCACCTTTTACCCTCTGAACTTAGGGGATCTGCCCGATTTATAAACAGGCACAACATGGTTGGCCCTCAAATAGCATTCTACCCCAGTCCAGGAAAGAGATGCTATCAGAGCTATGACAATTTCTCCTGCAGGTCCTGGTAAGTGACTACAAACCTCTTTACAAAATGTTGCTCTAAAAGAGCCGGGGAGGATGGTGGTGCATGGAGGGCTGAAGTGGCTGTTTAGTGGCACAGTATGAAACAGTGGGTTTATTGTGCCTCTCCAAAAACCACAGAGTTAAAATTGAGCAATGAAACCAAGGTGAAACTCCAGATGGTGGCAATTCTTAATCTCCTTTCTTGTTTCTAAAGCTCATACAGCCGTAGCTGCCGTCAGATGCAGTGTGTGAATAAGGAGTGTCAGTATGGGTTTGTACCAGGGAGTGGAGATGAACCTCAAGGACCAGAAGAAACTATAACTTTCTATGAAATAGAAGGAGAGGATGACACTGCTTTTCCTACTTTACCAGTGAGTTACTACCAAAAGATATGTTAATATCTCTCAAAGGGTTGGGAGCTGTACCAGCGCACAGCACTTGTTTACCTAAATACACAGCAGGTTTGTTTTGTTGTTTTTCCTTTTCCCTTGGAATCAGCAGTAGCAGTGAATGTGTAGCAGTGAAATGAGTCTAGGTCCTGTAAGAAACCCTGCTTGAAACCTCAGTTTCTCTAAATGTTCCACTTCTTTTTCCCTCCCCTCACCAGCAGCACTTGTTTTCTCTTTAGTGTATTTTCATAAAAGTAGGGTCATATTTCTCCTTTCTATTGCAGTTTGAAAACAAAACAAAAAAAATCCTTTCCTCCTGTGGATGTCTGTCTCTAAATAGTGTGGGAGAAAGCTTTTCACTTGTTTGCCACACTGTAATTTATCATTTGTGTAACTAAGATTCAGAAAGCATATAGTGATAGCCTGGATTATGCCTGTGAATTTGTAGTTGTGATGTTTTGGGGCTAACATGTTGTTCCTGTAAACCATTTCTTCTGCTATAGAAACAGGAGAAAATTCCAGATAATAGGCTTCTAAAACAGTCTTTCTGTCAGATAGGGGATAAAGTGGGCCAGTGTAGTCTTAAAGTTTAAATAAACCTTTTACTTGTAGTCTAACCCTAGTACAAAGCTGGATATGCTACAGAGAATCAACTGATATTTAGGGAGCTGACTAGGAAAGCAGAAGGGGTTTTTTGTTTGTGGGGTTTTTTTTTTTGTTTGGTTGGTTTTTTCTTTTGTTGTTGTTTTGTTTGGGTTTTGGTGGGGGTTTTTTGTTTTTGTTTGGTTGGTTTTTAAGAAAAACCCTGGTAGGTTTGAATTTTTACTGTGTTGAAGCAGTGAACTTAGCAAATGTTAGACTTGCATTTGAATGAGAAAGAGGGAATCTGCTCACGGCTGTTTCAGCAGCAGCCATTGTTTAATTTTTCCTCATGTGCCAGATCTGTAGGCTTTGCTCTGTTTTTTCTTCCAAGAGTATCAAGGAATAAGGACAGATTATCCTGCAGTGTTTTTTCCCCACCACAAAACCAGTACAGCTCACTAGCTTTTTGTCCCCTTGATAGACTGTATACCTGCAGCTCCTAATGAATAGTTTTTCATGTTCATTCAGTGACTTTGTATTGTCAATGCCAAAGCATTTTCTCTGTCTCTCCCTTGTCTTGTTTAGTCAAGGAATAAAACATTTCCTGGGGAAAGATGCATCTCACAGAAAACTCTGCCATCCTACTAGAGGCCTGGTGGGAGAATCTTCTGACTTACCACCTCTGCTTCAACCTTGGAGATCTTACAAGCCTCTCTGAGCACTTTATCGATCTCATAGTCACCATGTCTTCTGAGGAGAATTTTGAGTGTCACCTTAGCCATCACAAAAGAGTGAATCAACTTCTTTTACTTGAACATCTAGATTCCTGCTTCAGAGATCTTTTAAATTTTGGTGCAGCTAAGGACTGACTTCAACACAATGTCCTGTGAAGTGTTAAGGAGTCCTGTGGGAAACCTGAATGGGTGCTGCTTTCTGAAAGTCAGGCTTACATTTGCTATTGTGGCTAAAGAAAACCTTTTTTCCATGCAATTAGTGTAGTGGATGCACTGATCTGGTGGTGGTGTGGTGGGAGTGCTCCAGCATGAGGAGAACAGGAGTGTTTGTTGGGGGTAGCAGTCTTGGCTGTTGTCTGGGGACTGCTCCTTCCTTTTGAGCTCTGAGCTTGAGATAAAGCTGGCAATGCTCTGGGAGGGAACAACTTGACTGTATGGCACAGGGCAGTGGTAGGTCTTCAGAAATGAATTACCTTAAGTATATTAGGCAAAACCAAAGGTAAAGGCAAGAAACGAGTCAGTAACCATTCTGTTGCAATCAGGGTGCATAGGAATGGGCACACAAATGGCAATCCTAGCAAGATTTGGTTGCAGCAAGCTTGGTCTGCCAGCCTGTATCTACTCTGTGTGTGTGTGTGTGTATAGAGTATGGAAAGGCTTTAAACTGTTTCTAACTGCATGCTTTTGATTTTGCTTTCTAGAGCCAGGGTAGCCCTGCTCCCATTATCCATGGTACAGCAGGATTCTGGGTAGCAAGGAGAGGCCCAAACTCAGATGTGCCTAACAAGCAGATCCTGAATTCCTGTGAGGAGGAAGAAACAAGTGAAAATGGTGAGTTCTTAAAGCATTAGTGGGTGAACAGAAAAGGCATGTTTAGAAGATCTTAAAATTGTCAAAGTAGGTGCCTTACATCTCCTACAGATCTATTTGTTGGGAGCTTTGAATGTGTGTGTGAGCACAGTATATTTCTTTGTTGTCTGTTAGAACTGTGTCACTTCTGTTTGAGTTTACTACACCATCACCCTTGTGATTGGGTAGGTCTGCAGCAAGCAACGTTGCTGCCTAAAAATGCATGGATGCATGCTGTGAACTTGGTAATGGCAACCTTAGTACTTGGTGGAATAACAAAATGAGCATATCTTGAGAGTTCTTCTATCTTTCCTGCACAAAAGATGGTGATCCTGAAAGCAGCTCATTAATGGATACACTGAAATGTAATTCTGGTAACTTCAGCTTTAAGCTTTTTTCTTTTGCCCTTTGAGTCAAAGATTCCTGTTCTCTCCCTTATAGGGAAATTCCATGAAGAATACATCTGTTCACCTCCAGGTAAGTAAAACTTCAGTGTTTACTGCTAGAACACTTGCTGACTGTAATGCACTCATTGTGATCTTATTTCTAAGTTTCTGAAGCATTAGATTTAAAGCTGCTTTTTTTCCAATTAATTTTGCCAATGCTTTCCAGGTCCTGACTGTGACACTGCAACAGTATTTAGTTCAGCAGAGCCTACAGAAAACTTGGTAAGCTTTAGTCACTGGCTGTTCAGATTAGGAATCCCTGAAGTATGTGGCATTCCTTACAGAAACTGTTCTTGGATACAGGCTTAACATAGTAGGTCGGAGAGCTCTTGTGAAAGAAAGGAATGATGGTTTTCTTTATGTATTCACCACCCCCCCTTTCCTCCCTAAATATGGAGGGTTTTATCTAAGTCTGCAAGTACAGTCTGCATTGCACAAGCTACATTAATGATTTTCCACCTTCCCCTCCACAAAGAGAAAGTGTGTAGTTGAGTGCTGTTTACTTTTCTTCTTTTTCTGCTCCTGACAGCACTTGCTTTTATCGTGCTACCCTTCAGTTCCTATTGCAGTTTGTATTACTCCTCCACTGTGGAACTGGAGAGATCTCACCTCTGATAGAACTGATTGTGGAATTCTTTTTTTTAGTCTGAAACTAACTCTTTAGTCACCTGCTGGTCTGCAGTGGGTGTGAAAGCCAGTCCTGTGCTTGTCACAATAAAACTGCTTTTATTCAAGTTACAAAAGATCCCCTGTGTGTATATAGTCCATAAATAAATTTTTTAAAATAAGGGTATGGTGTGTGTGCCTTGGGACTTTTTTTGCCTCTTAAATGGACCGTGCTTTACTTTGGAATCCCTTCAGGAAGAAGGGGCAGTCTCTGTGTCACCTCAAGATGGAGTGACTTCCTACAGCTGTTCCCAGAAGGTAGTATCTGGTACTTTATTGTGGTAGCCCTGTGAAGAGGCAACCACTCTGCTCAGTTAGTGCCAGTTTATGGGGTCCCTTTACCTTCCCCTTCACAGCATCTTGTAGATGGGTGAGAAGATGCCTTGCAACTGGTATTTTCAAGCCAATTTTTAGAGAACTTGGATAGTTAGCTGCCTTACAGCTAAGACTTCCAAGATGCATTTATGTGAAGTGAGAATCATGTGATGTTTCCATAGTGTTTGTCAAAGCAAGTTGTCTTCTGACTGACTGACTCTTTTCCAGGTGATGGTGAATTCTGCAGCTATCTCAACCTCTACAGCTGTTTATGCTGCTCCAGCTACAGGCTTCTCCTCAAATTCTGCTGCCTCCACTGCAGCCAGTGCCACAACAGCAGTTCCCCCACAAACAGCAGTCCAGCCGGTCATGGTATCTCCCCCTTCTATAGGGAGGCCAGGTAGAGTGTGCATGCTACGGCTGTGGACATGGATGTCTGAGGTTTAAGCTTTGGCTTAAAATGACTTAGTAGTCATCGTAACTTCACTGCTCACTTCTTGCTTTTGTGTTTTGAAGGAGACAGTTGCCTCTGAATTTGCATGGGAATTGGAGGTATCTGCTTTGGGTTCCCCTCTCATCACCTTTAGCCGCCAGTGTCAAGGGTTGTGCTAGAAAGCTCTTTTCAGAAGGCAGAAGTTCATGGCAGCTCCCTTCTCCCCAGTTTCCTACAGTTAATTTTCCTCTTGAGTTAAGATACTTGTCCTGAGGCTTTCCTTTCCCTTCCAGAAGAGTCTCTGGCTGTCATGGTTCAGGATCCCCACAAATGCCCCATTAATTCTTGTGCCCTTATTTTGCTCCTCTTAGTTACACGAAGCTTGCAGATAGACTTACAGTTAAGGCTTGTGAGATTGGAACCTTCCCATCTGGTTTGAAAACTTCTGGATTTCTTTTAAAGTGATTACTAAAGTTTGTATGTAGGGGCACTGAGATGAGGAAGAAGTGCTTGCTGAATTGTGTAACTTAGCATCTTGCTCATTTGACATGCCATTGCAAAGCTGACTTTTGTTTCCTTCTAATTGTAGCAGTTTCTTTGGTGCCATTGCCAATTTATTCAGCCCCTCTTCCTCCAGTCAGTGAGGTGGGAGAAGCTGGTGCCGTTCTTCCACCTTACTCTTGTGATCCCAATGGCAGTGATCTGCCTCGAGGTAATGACAGTATTTTGTGCTTTTACTACTGCTGCTCTTCGGCACGCTTCTGACTCGTGTTCTCCATGGAAACTTCACAGAATACCTATAGTGAGAAGAAATGGCTCTTGGCAGCTTGCAGGGAGTGAGAAATAATGTTATGGATGCTTATGCTAAAATCGATTTAGTTTCCAGTTCTGAATAGCAAGTTCGTATCTGACTCAAATATGTGATTACCACAGCCTTAAACAGCATCCTAAAGAAATTAATACCAAGGGAGAGAGTGCTTGGTCGGTATCATACTGGTTCTTGGTGGAGGAATCATTTGTCTGATAACTGATTTAAAAAAAAACCCAAACAATTTCTTTATAGTCATGCTATTGCATAATTGAGTGGCGTGTTGTGGTGTTCTCCTGTATGGGTTCAAAAAGTCATTCTGTGGTGGTAAAAATGGGGCATAAAGTGTAGGGTCATGTTGGTCCGTGCGTGCACAGCCCTCTCATGTACTGTTACCAATTAGGATGGTCTTGAAAGTGCATTTTGGCTGTTAAGCAATGAGCGTGCAAAGACCAACCTAGCATCAACAGCAGGGCAGCTCAGAAACAACTTTCAGCTTTATCAGCTGAAGGTGGACTTGATTTCGGAAGTGGTAATCCTTAGTCAATTTGCTCTTACAATTTAAGAATATCAGCTTACTGATTGCATCAGACAGCTGAGCTTGCTAAGCTGTGCAACGGGCACTGAAATACTTGATGGTTTTGTTATTAATTTATCCCTTTATTGTCTCATGTTTATGGTTCACAAGTCATAAATAGAGCCTGTAATTCACAGAGCTTTGTGTAATAACCCAAAGATCAAGCTAAGTGCCTCAGCTACAGGAAAAAATGGTACTGCTTGCTTTTATGCTATGTAACTTATTTTTCTCTAGATGAGGAATGCTGTGAGGCCCAAGTGTGCCACCGTTGCATCACTGCACACATCTCAAGAGGCAGATAAGCTGCAGCCTACCCTTAAGAGCAGCAGTCCAAAACTGGCTGTTTATGATTTTGTTGTTCAAGTAGTTGATATATCTCTGCACACTGGTTAAAGTACACAGGGTATTTTTGATGTCTTCTGTACACTGAATATGTTGAAAGTCTGTGCATCACAGCTGGCTTGTTCTAATAGCTATAGATAGAGCAGGTGACAGGACTTTATCAGACTTGCTACCTTCAGTTCAAGTTCCTGAATCTCCCATGTTCTCTGGTGTAGATAGTAGCTACTCATTCAGGGGCAAGCAAGGGAAGGAACTGGCTGCATATCCGTAGGGACTGTGAAATCCACGTGCTCCTTTTTGCACTGTTGTGAAAAGTGTAGTTTCACTATCACTGTGATTTGATTTCCTCCCCACCTCCTTCCCCTGAAAACCCCTATCCTTGTAATAGGCTGAATTTCAGCTATCTGGCAGTTGCAGCTTTCATTGCGTCAGAATGTAAAGCTTCTGGCTTTTCTTCAAAAGTGAATAAACAAAAATATATTTAAACAAAATCTATTACTTGAAGATGGAGCATGAAGTCTTTTAGTAATGCAAATTGTTTCCATGCTTGATTCAATGTGTTGCCATCTAAATTTGCTCTGTTGACCCTGTGTATGACTTTCTTCAATGTACTAATCCTAGAGGGCTAAATTCAGGTAAGATGAAGAGCTACTCTTGATATCTGCAGTTCAGGTAGCTGTATCTGGTAGGTTGCAGAATAACTGGGCTGAAAAGCCATGGATTCTTTCAGTTGCATTTACCATGTGATGTGCTTGCCAGAAGTTGGCATGTTCCAAAACACTATGGCAAGGCTGCTCAAAGGCCTGCTGCTTTCACAGGTACTGCTCGTGTGCTCTGCAGGAACTC